GTCTTGGAACAACCAAGAGAGAAAGGACAACACCTTTGAAACCTAACAGAAAGCGAAGTACAATGATGAAGACGTAAGAAGACCCGGAAGGACCGCCAGGAAACTTCATATTGCCGCCGAGACGAAGCCCGCAGGTGGGACACTAATAAGGAAGCCACCTGATCACCATAGAGATAATGATAAACCAGAGTCAAAAATACCATATACGAAGACTCGAGGAGAAGATCGAACCATGCACGTGATGTACCTGTTCGATCTGCTGGAAGAGGCGGAGCTGCGGGAAAACCTCAGGGTTCGGACACCGAGCAAGCAGTGCCTGAAACAACAGCTGGGGACGGCCACCATGGGGCCAAGAGGACAACTTTCCGCTGATAAGTCTCCAAGCAAGTCAGGACCTGGACCAACAGCTGAACCGGGGGAAAGGGGTACAGGAACCCCCACCTCGACCAGTCCGGCCGAAAGGCATTGACCCCGACGGCCTCGTGGTCAGGAAAGGGTGCCACATACAGGGGAAGGCGCCGCGACCATGCCGACACGAAGAGGTCCACCTCGGAGCGTCAGAACGCCTGGCAAAGCCAACGGAAGGAGTCGGCGTTGACCGTCCATTCCGTGGAGAGGGGAACGAAACAAGACAGGCCATCGGCCAAGACGATGGACACTCCACGCACATGAAATGCCAGGAGAGCCAAACCCAGAGAACTCAGCAGACAAGTCACCCGAAGCGACCAGTGCCAAAGAGCCAAGGACCGGATGGAACCCTCCTGGTTCAGGCAATAAACCACTGGGGAGCAGTCTGAATAGAGCTGGATCGTCAACCCGCGGGCGACACGAAGCCTCGGAAGAGCAAACCACACTACCCCCTGGTGAGCACTGGTCAAAAGCCCCAGCCGAGAGACGACTCGTCCGTGAACACATCGAGCGAGGGTTCGGGCAGGCGCCAAGGCACTGAACCCCGAAAAACCCGAAGAGAAAGCCGGCGACGCAGCAACCAACAAAGTCCCCGGGGTCCGATCCCAGCGATCGCGAGAGAGGCGGAAGGGACGTCCCCAAAGGAACCAGAACAGCCGGCGAAGCCAAACCCGACCTGGCGGGTAGACCAGCATCGCGAAGTTCAGGCTCCCGCACAAACCCTTGAGCAACCGCCAGGGATGCACTAGCATCACCCCCATGTCCCCAGCAATAGGGCGAACTGCAAAAGAGCCAGCGCCCCTTATGAGACCCAGAACCTCGCACAGAGCCAACACCGCGCCGATCAGACGAAGGCAGGTCCGAAGGAGGGGCCGAACCCAAACCCGACACCAGTGGCCTACCATGACAAGAGGAACCCCGAGCCTTGGCACGACCCTTCCAGGAAGGCCCACCACGGGATCCTCAGAGAACCAAAAAGTCCGACATAGGACGGCAAGAAGCCGAAGCAGCCTGAATATACTGCACAACAGCCGAAGCCTCAAACAGGAGAGGACAAAACGGCGAAGACATCCGAAGAGCCAAGGCCCAAGCAGATTTTACAGAGGAGGCAAGCACCGCCTGCCGACACGTGAGCCAGGAAGCATAAAACAGCGCCACCACATCCCGCAATATCGGCACGAAAAGCTTCAACAAGGCAGCCGACGAGCGGGCCGCCGAGGCCAAGGCGCCAAAACCAGGAACAACCCCAAGCGCTCCCACATCCTCCGTGAGCCAGTCCACAGACAGCTCGAGGAGGGAAAAGAAATGTAAGGCCGAAGCCAACAGGCCCCGGGCGCACAAGTCCTCAGCCACCACCGCTGCCGAAAGGGAGGGAACCGGCACATGGAGCTGAATGACACCAACATCTCGGGAAAGAGCAGAAGCAAACAAGCACTCATTGAGGTGCTCAAGGTCACCCCCCCCCCTCTCCAGGAAAACCTTAAGCACTGTCGTAGCCTCCCGCCACTCAATCGTGCGGGAACGGCAGAAAGAGTGCCAAGCCTCCAAGGCAAAGACAGGACAGTCGGCCAGCCAGGATGACACCGAAACCTCGTATCAGAGTCAGAAAAGGAACGAAGTCCCAAACCTGAAGTCCAAGGGATCTATTTCTGAGGCATAATCCAGGTCACACAGGAGGTATGCCACAAGAGCTGCCTGCACTACAGCAGGTTGGATGCGATAAGTCGAAAACCTCCGGAAAGACGGAACCGAAGCACCAGGGGAACATGGAACCGAACCAGGTGAGGGGTAGACACCAAAGTCCAACTCGTACGCAGAGGGGTGAAAAGAAAATCCCACTCCTTGTAACAGTAAACCCCACTCGGAGGGCAGAAAAACCCAGGCGGGGTCCAGCGGGGCCCAAGGCCCCCAACTCAGCCCCTCCCCAGCCCCAAGGTCCTCCCCAGCAGGACCCGGGGCCAAGTCCTCCCCCAAGCACCGACCCCACCAGACAAGGCCGGCGCAGCTGAAGAAGCCGGAAGGAAGAGGGCCTACTAGTCAGACCCGGGAAGAGACTCGAATGCCTCTGTCGCCACACCGGAAGGGGCATCCCCCGAGGCTACCCAAGTCTTTAGACCAACATATCCCTGCCCCGACCCCGAAACCATCAGACGTTTCGGGGCCGGAAGCTGGGGAGGGGGACCAGAATGAACAACAGAAGGGGAAGGACGAGGAGGTGCGGACTGAACCAAGGACGAAGAGACCCCCACCCCCAAGTCCAGGTCCCGATAATCAAAATGGGGCAGCTGCGGGGCATCCGGGTGAGCAACCAACCTAGCGCATTGCAGCAACCGAAACCTAGAATGTAACGCCTGCGCTGCCTGTACCCGAAAATGATCATCCACAGATTGGGTAAATTGAGTCACCAGCAAGCAGCAAAACTCACAGGACTCCAGGTTGAAAGTATCACCGACTCAACAGGCAGCGTGACGGAGGCAAAAACAGTGAGGGTCACCCTGAGACAAGGGGACCAAGCAACCCTCCAACTTGCATGAAGCGATTGGGGGAACTCCGGGGTCACATCCATCAGACCCATGCGACCCCTAAGGGATTCCCAGGATCCTGAGTGTTTACCTGAAGAGGACTTGCACTCAGGTTAGCCCAGGAAGGGTACTGCTAACCGGCACCCAAAACTACCAAACAACTGTCTACAGCTGAACTCCAGGGACGTATACACTCATGGGGACCTAGCAGGGGGCACCACCGAGCATCAGAATGAGGCCCAAACACCAGTGGCAAGTAGCGCAGAAACCCCTACCCAGGCAAAAATAAAAAAAAAATGCAAGAGGACAACATACCCCAAGGAACAGAGCCAGCCATTGTGATTGGTGACAACAAGCTGCGCAGCACCCTGCGCCCCTTACCAGTGCAAAACTGCCTCTTACCATAAGGTAAACTAAGGAGATAAAACACCCAAGATCCAAAGGACGGCCGAAAAACCGAGCAGTTAACGGACTGCAGAGGCAGATTCCAAGGAACTTGTGGAAGGTAACCCCCAAGCACCAAGGGCAGTACTTACAGGGCACCTAGGGAAGGTAACCGTAGGCGCATGCAGCCCGAGTACTGAAGAGGACCTCCTGGCTCTCGTACCCCTGGAAAACAGACGCCACACGCAAAGCACAGCACTGTAAAAGTCTGGAGCCAAAGCACACAATTGCTGCCTATAGCATCAGCCTCAAGAACTGAGGTGTGGATGGGGGGGGGGTGTCTGGTGCTCCCCCTTCCCCCTCCCGGGGAGGGGGGGAGCTGCGCAGACGAAAGCGTGGTGACGGGTGACGACATCCTAGTTTGTTCATTATTGTATGAGGAGTTCTATCCACTCGTTCGTCTTTTGGTTGCAATTTTCACCAGAATCGGGGTTTGTTTTGGAACACTTACCTTTCTGGGTGCCTAACCTGGTCCATGGAAGACACAGAATGCTTCCAACCACACGGTAGGTTTCTATAGGCCATTGCTCTCCTTGCCTCTCTAGAGGGGGGCTAGGTTCTGGTTCATGGTCCCTGGTAGGCCCAAAGAACTCCATACACATGACTGATGCCAAAGTCTGACATTAGCATATCAGCCTAGTAAGCTCCGGGAAGCCATAGGGGCTTTCCCCAGAAAACATGAAACCGGAGCATGAGCGACATGATTGGCAGGCATATCAGTATAGAATTAGCCTGTGAGTGGTCCGGCTGACCCATGTCAGTTCCCTCCTCCCCCCAGGCGTGGGGAGGGAAGGTCAGGGCAAAATGAGCGGGGGGAGGGGGGTCTAGTTTCCAGAAATTTTTATACAATTTCATACAGTTATCATACAAAGTGGGCGACAGGACAAGCCTCATGAACAACGACACAGTTATCATACATAGTGCATGACAGGACAAGCCTCATGAACAACGACACAGTTATCATACATAGTGCATGACAGGACAAGCCTCATGAACAACGACACAGTTATCATACAAAGTGGGGCAACAGGACTAGCCTCATGAACAACCACACTGTTATCATACATAGTGCATGACAGGACAAGCCTCATGAACAACGACACAGTTATCATACAAAGTGGGGCAACAGGACTAGCCTCATGAACAACCACACTGTTATCATACATAGTGCATGACAGGACAAGCCTCATGAACAACCACACTGTTATCATACATAGTGCATGACAGGACAAGCCTCATGAACAACCACACTGTTATCATACATAGTGCATGACAGGACAAGCCTCATGAACAACCACACTTATCATACAAAATGAGGCAACAGGACAAGCCTCATGAACAATCATAGTTATACATAATGGCCAACAGGACAAGCCACATTAACAACCACACACTTATCATACAAAGTGGGCAACAGGACTAGAATGCTGAACAACCAACAGTGAAAATCCATTATCCATATCCATTGATGAATACAAATCCCACCCAACAGCACCCACTATGGAGATAAAGTGACTAATTTGTAACCATAAATTTAGCTAAAATATGAAAGCAGTGACAAATGCACCAAGTAAATCTCTTTATGTGAAGGCAGTGAGAAAGCTTAAGCTACAGTAACGGATATACCTGAGCCCATATGGCTGTGGGAAGTAAGAGTCATGAGAGAACTTGCTCAACCTGATCTGCTCTGAGATGGGCCACCACGGGGAGCTGGAGAACAGGGGTTTACACACATGCATTACATCAGGTTTACTCTGTATAATCTAACAGTGCATTTACAATGTGAGTCAAGCTGAGAATTAAAATGCATTTAATTGTAAGTTTATACGTATCAAATTATAGTAGTAAAAGCCACACACAATTAACAACTTAGTTGACAAGAAGCTTAATACAACCATTTACATAAAATATAAACTCAGAATTTAAGTAGTATAACTTTAAAGTATATACCAGTATATAAGCTTAAATCTAGTACAAAGTAAAATAGATTTAGGACAGGTTAAAAGCCTCATCGTAAATATCTCAAGAGCAGCATCAAGCATAAGAAAACAAAAGCATAATAGACGAAAGATCCTACGTGCATTCCAAAAGGGTAGTAGTTTTAGGAGTCAGTATGATAAAGTACTGTACTAGAAACGTGAGAAAATAAGTGCACTAGTTACTTGGTAACTGTGAGGTGGAGCCCAAGAACAGGACTTCACTTCCCATAGATTTAGGAAAGGGCATGAATGTAAATATGCAAATGCATCAGAGTGCACACATGCACACACACAGCAGAAAGGAACTTTGAGGAAAGTATAGTGGACAAATGTAAAACAGATCCAGGCCTTTTCTATAAATTCATTAAAAGCAAGCTACATGTAAAGGATAAAATCTAGAGATTGAGAACATGCTCAGTAGAACATTCTAATGAGAATGAAAAAGAAATGTGTGAAATGCTAAATGAACAGTTCCAACGTGTGTTTGTAGAAAATGAGGATTTCAGAGAGCTGCACCAAATACCAATTCCAGAGCACGCCATAAAATATATAGAGGTACATGTGTATCTCAAGACGAAGTGAAAAAATTACTCATGAGGCTAGGAAGAAATAAAGCAGTTGGACCTGGTGGAGTTTCACCTTGGGTGCTGCGAGAATGTGCAACTGACCTGAACATTCCACTCCAATTAATATTCCAGACATCCTTGTGCACAGAAATCTTAGCAGATATATGAAAAAAGGCAAACATAGTACCAGTCAATAAAAATGGCATTCGAGAGAACCTCTAAATTATAGACCCGTATCATTAACAAGTGTGGTAGTTAAAACACTAGAAAAAATAGTTAAAGCCAAATGGGTTGAACACCTAGAGAATAATGACATAATAACAGACAGTATTGTTTTCGAACAGGAAGATTCAGAGTAACAAATCTTCTTAGTTTTATGATAAGAGCTACAGAGATACTACAGGAAAGAAGTGATTGGGTTGACTCTCTATTTGGAGCTAAAAAGCCAGCGTTGAATGTAATGAAATGCCATTTTCTGGGTGAGCCTCGGAGGCTCCCTGGGGCTATCAGACTGATATATGTTATATTAGTCTAGGGAATCAGTCAATTGGAGTTCAGCCTACCGGGACTCTGGCTCGAGAGCCAGAACCTGCCCCCCCCCCCACCCCCATCAGAGAGGCAAAGGGAGCAATTGCCTATGGAAACCCCTTTGCACTTGGGGGCATTCTGTGTCTGACATTGACCGGGGTTAGGACCCAAAAAGGTAGACATAACAAAACGGACACCACACAGTAAGAAAAAAATGCAACCGAAGACTGAACTGAGAGGCAGAACTCCCCCAACCTAAAGAAACAAGCAAACATCACACACACCACTGCCACGCTACTTGTCTGTGCAGCCCTCCCCTCCCCAGAAGGGGAGGGAGTGCAATTTAAGCTTTGTTAAGCTTTCTTCACATGACAGATTTTTAATTTCTGGAATTAACTTTTTCATCCTAGGCAGGACACGTTCAAGTGAATTTATAGCCATTCTATAGCATGGCAACCAAAACTGAACTGCATAATCTAAATGGGGCCTAACCAGAGCAAGATTTAGTTAAAGAACAACAACAAGTGTCATGTTACTAATGCTTCGATTAATAAATCCCAGTGTCGTATTTGCCTTATTACGAACATTTATGCATTGACTTTTTGGTTTTAAGTTCTTACTAATCATAACTCCCAGATCCCTTTCGCAATCAGACTTCGCAATCTCAACAATCTCAACAGCTCGAATCTTGTAACTCTATCATCGTTACCAAGCCTCAAAACCTTACATTTGTCAGCATTAAACTGCATCTGCCAATCTTGTGACCATTTCAAAACCCTATTTAGATCGACTTGAAGTGAGAGTGAGTCTTTTTCCGTGTTTATTTCCCTCCCTATTTTTGTATCAACGGCAAATTTGGAGAGCAAATATTGCTGCTCAAACCTAAATCATTTATATATATTATGAATAACAGAGGTCCCAGGACAGAGCCTTGAGGCACTCCATTTACAATATTTTCTTAGTCTGACTTAACCCCATTTATACTAACTCTGTTTCCTTTGGTATAGCCATGCCCTAATCCAACTTGATATAGAACCCCCAATATCATGGCCCTCAATCTTTTTAATCAGTCTTTCATGTGGCACTGTATCAAAAGCTTTGCAAAAGTCAAGGTACACAACATCACAAACCTTACCACTATCAACGGCCTCAACTATGCTGGAATAAAATTATAGCAAATTTGTTAAAAATGAAAACGAATGGTATTTGCAATTACCGATTCAAGTAACTTTCCCACAATCGACGTTAGGCTAATTGGCCGATAATTTGACACAAGTTATCTATCGCCTTTCTTAAAAACTGGTACCACATTAGTAACCTTCCAAGACTCTGACACTATGCCTGACTCTAATGATTTATTAAATATGGTAGACAATGGATCGCAAAGCTCCTCTTTGTATTCTTTAAACACCCTGGCAAACATTTTTTCTGGCCCTGGGGATTTACACCTCTATTATGTCACCCCTAACTCTTCGCCTTTCTAGCAAATGTAATTTACGCTGTGTCAATCATTCTTCATATGACAGGTTTCTAATTTGCGAGATGAACTTTGTCATCCTACGCTGGATGCCTTCCAGTGAATTTATATCCATTCTATAGTACAGCAACCAAAACTGAACTGCATAATATAAATGGGGCCTAACCAGAGCAAGATATAGCTGAAGAACAACACCAAGTGTCTTATTAGTAACGCTTCGATTAATAAATCCCAGTGTCGTATTTGCCTTATTACGAACATTTATGCATTGGGTTTTAACCCCTTAACTGCACGGCTTCCAAATATGGCACCCCCCCCCCCCCCACAGTGCACAGGAAATAAATCTCTGGAATTTTTTTTTTTTAAATGTCAAAAATCCTTTCTTAAGTATGGATATAGTAACAAAAGGTCGAAAGTGTACTTACTTTGGCTGCTATGGGGTCTGTAACTTCGCGCGTGACGTCATCATTCCCTGGTCGCCCGCGGTGTATACTCCCGGGGCCAATAGGGCGCGCGGCTCAAGATGCGCGAGTTGCCACGAATATATTTTTGTTCATTTTTTGCGCACAATTCCAAATGCATTTTATTTGTGTTTATGTGCCAATCCTGTGTATAATAAACATGTACACTATATTATGGCAGTAGAACATCCGTACTGTCCGAAGACACTGTGTTGCGTGCATGACACATGCGTACACATATCCAGCACATATTTCCAATGTATCATGCTAATTTATGTATACAGTGGTACCTCAGAATACGAGTGTCCCTGTACAGTGGTACCTCGGAATGCGATTGTCCCTGTATGCGAGGTTTTCGGAAGGCGAGCAGTATTTACTCCAAAAATTTGTCTCAGAAGGCGAGGGTTACTTCGGGACGCGAGTTTGTTGATACGCGTACAGGCGGACCTAGCGCGTGGTGGTTCGGCGATCGTCGCCCCTCCGCCCCGCCGCCCCTCAGTTTACCATTGTCTCGCGCTCAGTGACTACCCCCACATCAATTCTTCTCGCGGATTTTCAGTGTTTTGTTGGATTTTTGGTGATTTGTCTATACAATTTGTTATTATATACCTCACCATGGGTCCCAAGAAAGCCAGTGGTAAGGATAAAGGCCAGAAAGCTCATGTGAGGATGACAATAGAGGAGAAACAAGAGATCATTCGGAAGCATGAGAACGGTACACGTGTTGTTGAACTTTGTAGGCAGTACAACAAAGCCACATCAACAATATGCACTATACTTAAGAAGAAAAATAAGATTATGGGTGCTAAAGTGGCAAAAGGAGTAAGAACATTAACGGCACAAAGACCACAAATACTTGAAGAAGTGGAAAAGTTGTTATTAATTTGGATACACGACAAGGAGTTGAGGGGTGATAGTGTTTCGGAGGCCATTATTTGTGAGAAAGCCAGGGTGTTGCACGAAGACCTTCTAAAGAATACCCCTGCAACGAGTGATGCAGATAAGAAAGAGTTTAAGGCAAGCAGGGGCTGGTTTGAAAAATTTAGAAAGAGAAGTGGTATCCATAGTGTTACAAGGCATGGGGTTATGTGATGTGATTATGGAAGGGGACTCCCCTTCCAAACAGTAACTCCTCTCCTCCTCCCCCCTCCTCACCATCTTCCATATGCCTACAGCACTCGACAGCAAGGTAAGTAATAACTGGAACACAGTTTTGTAGGTTTATTTAGATGAATTAGGTAAATTAGGTATAAAAATTTAGTTTGATGTGGGGTTTTTGGGGTAGTCAGGAACGGATTAATTCATTTCCCTTTATTTCTTATGGGGAAATTAACTTCGGAATGCGAGTTTTCGGAAGGCGAGGCGTCTCCAGGAACGGATTAAACTCTTATTCTGAGGTATGCCTGTATATGAGTTTATCGGGATAATGGCATGATTTGCTCGGAAAATTTACATCGGAAGACGAGGGTGTTGATACGCATACAGGCCGACCTAGCGCGTGGTGACATGGCGGTCGCCTCTCAGTTTACCAGTGCCTCGCGCCCAGTGACTATCCCGCTTGAATTCTTCACCAGGATTTAGTGTTTTGCTGGATTTTTGGCCATTTTTTTACCATAAAAGTTGTTATTATATATCTCACCATGGGTCCCAAGAAAGCCAGTGGTAAGTATCAAGGCAAGAAATCGCATGTGAGGATGAC